GCGCGTCAGCTGGCCTTGCACTGCACCGGAGGGGAATTTGCGTGCGCTGTTAGGCGATTCCGGACGATAATTCCGGACCGGCATACTAATCGCATCCCCTGGTTTATGATGAACTGGGATTGACGGAGGTATAACAAAATTTTGTTAAGCGTCCCTTAGCCGGCCGATTGGCAAAGCTTTAGGTGATGTACAATGTACGACATTCTGACTTACCGTCGGATGGAAAGGTTGGTTGGAGGTTAGTCCGCTCATGTATATACATAAGAGTTTAACATTATTATGAAATGTCTAGTGTAATTTTAGTTTACTACAATTACACTAGACAATCTCTGTATTGTTTATGTGGACTATTAAGATATTCCACATAAACAATACTGGATTGTCCAATATTGTTATTGTTCCACGAGCAGTGGTTTTTTTCGTTTTGGGCCAAGTACCCTAGAGTAATAAACTGAGTATTTCTTGCGGTTACAATTCCTATTTGTATAGTCGCTGGGGGGGGCTGCCCCCCCCCCCGAACCCCCCTTCAAAGGCCGTACGGTGTGCTGTAAACAACACCTGACGTCTGGAAACACACATGCCGTACCACGTGTATAATATTATATAAAATACAATATTATACATGTAAATAACATAAGGAATAGTTAAAACACATCATTATTTTGTACGATGGGGTTTCGGCAAAAAAGACTCGCTTCGAGGTTTACATACCAAGAGGGCAAGGGAGCGGTGTTCATTCCTCTTGACACCAAAACACAGAACACGTGCGTGACGTGTGTATATGTGTGTATGTTATGCGTACATGTACATGTAGGTGTGTGTATGCGGACATAACCCATCTACACAAATTTAAAGTCCCCCTTCTCAAGCTATCCTATCTTCAGTCATTACCGCTGCCCCTTCCCCCAACTTCTAACTAACTAATAAACCAACTGCCGCGCCGCCATCCCCCCGCATCGCTTGCTGGACCACACACAAATGCGATGAAGGCCCAAAACGGAAAAGCCTTAGCACGACATGCGGGTGCGATACGGCATTTCTATATAACGCTAGAATAATTGTCAACAATAACAGAAGCTGCGAGGAATAATAGCACACAGTGCCTGCTGCACGTGCAACACAACAATTTTTATCAACGTACACGCGCTGCACAAAAGTAAGTGCCCGAACAAGTATTTCCGCAGTCTCCTTTAAGGAATGAATACACATCCATGACTGGTTGTACGACAGTACGACAGGCAGATACTGCAAATTGCCCCAACTGAACTGAAAAGCAATAAGATACAACGTACACAACGCCCTTAGCAGAGCGGCAACAGTGCCCTCTCCTTCCTAGAGCAGGGAGACATTCATTGATTGCACAATGATGTCAGCCGGGGCCTTATTATTTGCTGGGAAGTGCCGTACTGTCGTACACTGTACTGCGGTGTACACATGCCACATGCCACACGTTTCCGTCTTTCCTTCCACATGCTCTAACGCCGTCAGCCCGGTAAGCCCAATCCAAATCGCCTCGCTACAACCAACCGCCTCGTTCCTTCCATTCCATCACATAACTCAGTATTTCTCAGCAACAACCTATTGTCCGGAGATTTATCGACCTGACCCTGCAAGCTAGTTCAAACGCTTCAAAAGCAAAGCACTTCTACAAACTTCTCATCAAACGCAAATGCAAACGCGCAGGCAGAAGACCAATAATGCCAATTTCTTAAGGCACAACCCTTCTCCAAGAGCGCGTTGAGAATTTATGTTCTCGCCGTCCATTCCCCCTGATGATGACAGCCCCTCGTCCGAAAGATTACAACCGCGGTTGTTAGTCAAGAGTCAGTCCTGGCTCATCTCCTCATTATATTTCTGCTCCCATCCTCCTTTTAACCACCATAGCTCATAACTGGTCAATAGCTCGTTTTATCAGTCAGCGCGCCATCGCGACGTTTTACCACACGCACGTTCTGGCTCTCGATCGTGGCCCGCGCCACGGGCCATATGCCCCATCGACGTACTCACTGAGACGCGCGCGGACCGCCGGTGCGCCAGAAAGCCTTTCCTAATCTTAATCGCCTGTTACAGGCGAAAACCAGTTCCACATCCAGATCCAGGAATCGCTCGCGATTTCCCTCGTAAATTAACTAGCTGGCGAAACGGAAAGATTAGAGTAGAGAGCGCTGTGCAACTTGCCCGTGCTCTCCTGACCACCTCCTTATTTATGCATACCTTCAGCTCTTATAACTCTCTCTCTATATATATATATAACTCTATAACTCTACAAAAAGACGTGGAAAAGGAGACAGAAGGGCAGAGTGTGTGGAGGAGGAGGAGGAGGAGGAGGAGGAGGCTAAGGAGGACACGAGACGGCACAGGCGCTCATTTTGCAAAAATACGTTGCGGAAGGCGAAACCAGAGACGATGTACGGAAAACACAGACGTAAATCCTTCTAGGTGTTTAGGGTACAGGGGGATTAAGGGGAGGGAGGGGGGGAACTGGACACGAGCACACCCGGGCGCCTGGAGCGCCACAGAGGAGAAGAATGGCGCTGATGGGGACTCCTGCCGGTGAGAACGGGCAAGGGCGCGAGGTGAAACCATGGCATGATTGTACGGCATCAAAACGGCTCCACCAGCGGTTCTTAGCCACGAAGAGAGAAACGGAGGGAGACCCCCCCTCAGGCGGGTCTAACGAAGGGAAACACGGACCTAAATAGACTGGTCACGTAAGGTGGCCTCCTTCGCTAATGAATTAGTGCCTGCATTGCACACCTACAACAAACATACGCTCCTACACACGTCCATGATCACGCAGCCAAGTCAGCCGCGAGATGAGGTGAGGTGTTGTATCTTCAAAGAGCCTCCAAATATGTCTCTGCAACCCCATCTTGCCCGCCTCGCTCTCCCATTGATCGCCGCCAGCCGCACACCAACAGCTCTCACGCTAGCCTGAACAGGTGTGTCGGTGGTGTCGGTGATGGTGGTGATAGTGGTGATGGTGATAGTCGTGGCGATAGTGGTGATGGTGGTGATAGTGGTGATGGTGATAGTCGTGGCGATAGTGGTGATGGTGGTGATAGTGGTGATGGTGATAGTCGTGGCGATAGTGGTGATGGTGATAGTCGTGGCGATAGTGGTGGTGGTGGTGGTGGTCCAGGGCTCCCCGCCCTCCAGGAGTAGCTGCTGTCCCAAGCGCTGTGTACCGTCTCCGTTACACCAACGCCTTTGAAAACCCGCCGTCCAAACGGCAAGGTAACCTAACTAGGACACGGACGGGGTAGCCTAATTAGGACTGGAGAGAACCCCAAAGCATGAGGACACAAAATGCTGGTCATCAAGAGATACACAATTTCTGAAATTCGCCTCTGAAATTTCAAGAATGTATACTCATCACCAATATTCGCACCCGCTTTCCTGACCCTCCAGCGAACCTCGACAAGTCCCGACGCATTTACAAAGGCCAAGTAGCAGGAATAAATAACAACACAACACTTTCAAAGCGGCAATGCTTCATAAACATGCGGACAAACAACAGTTTCCGTTGGATGCCCGGCTGCCTTACACCGTTTGCCCTCCTCTTCCTCGTAATCACCCCCCTCCTTTCTACACACTACAGCCACTCCAGCCTAATAAATCAACATCTAATACCCTCACCATCATCACCAGCGCCACGCTCAGTAAGATTTCCCTCATCATCACCACCATGATAGGACCATTGCCATAATCACTGTCAGCATGGCAAAAGACGCGAACCATGCTTTGCCATTGGAGACCACCAACCACCAACCACCAACCTAAGCTTGTTTACCGAGGCCTGCCGGCGACATAGCGCGTACCTTTCATCAAACCGCAACACACCACCCTGCGCGAAATGAAGCACCTCAATAGTTACACCTTCAAATCCCAATCGATTTCCCTTACCACTGATCTGGACCAGGAAGGGTGAAATCCTGGTGAATTCCTTCCACCTCGCCACAAACACCCCTTGTCAAACCCCACCCGCCATCGCTCCATCCCCCAAACCGCCACTCTTTCCACCTGCCATGGCATTTTGCCTGTTGCGTTTTCGCGCCCACCCGCCCCCTGCCAGTCACAAAACAGACCTCCACGTCTTTCCAGAGACTGGGAGACCTTCTTTCCCTTCCCCCGCACATACACATACACGCTCCTGCACAATTGATTCGCCGATTTCCTCCAAATGCACATCCAGCAAAACCATCCTGCCACCAATTCCCATATCTTGAGCTGTGCAAAGTATCGCCCCCAACCCAATATTCCAAACTTTCCCCCGCCATCCACTCACCTACATTCCGTTTTCCATTTCTACAAAGGCGGATCTCCAGTTCCACCTCGAAATTCAACTTACAAAAAAAAGCCTAAGCCCTCTCCCCCCACATGAAAAAGAAACAAAGATGGCATGCAACTCCCCCCCTGATACCTAACCCACCACAAGGCAAAGCATCAACTAAAACACCCATCCTCAACGGCTTGCAGTCAGCGGCCAAACGAGAAATAACCACCCACATACCGCCCAAAACACGCTGGATGCATTCCTGCCCTCGCCAATACGGGACGGTGCGCCGCCCCTTGATGACCACAACAGCACAACCATCTCCACATCCAACCCTCTCGCGCTCCGCTCCGCATCGTGTCGTGTCGCGTGCTTGTCGGAGGTAAGGGTAGGGAGCGGCTGTTTTGTCGCCCATCCATGGAGAGGCATCGTCATCTCAAAAAGATGGTGGATGGTGGTGAAGCTACAACAAACTACTAGGCGGATGCGTGGGCAACCGGTGCAACCACTCTGCCCCCACCGTTGCCTGCACCATGCCTGCTCTCCGCAATGCGGTTATTCCATCTACGTACAACTTCCGTTAACATTAACTGCCGCTACTGCTGCTGCTGTTGCTGTCAGCCCCCGCCTGCCTGACGCGCCGCTGTGCACTCTCCCTCCTCCTCCTCCTCCTCCACCTCGCCCTTGACACGCGGGCCCCACGTCGCCTAGCAGCGTGAAGTCTCTAAATGTCGTACATGATGCGGCCATGATCGACCAGCGGCCGTGTGGAGACCTGCTCACCCGCATGTGCCACATGTGATCTCATGTACGGCGCACGGGACTGCCGCCGCCG